GGAAGATCATGGAATGCTTCATGAAGATATGTCTTAAAGGAAGAGAGGAACTCTGAATCAGAGGTAATAAGGGCACACATTGTAAACATATGGGATGGCCAGTGAAAAGACATTGTGTGTAGGGAACAGAGATAAGACCAGTTTGACTGCATTGCACTGGATTGACGGGAATGTTGAATAAGAATAAAAGATAAAAAATTAGAAGTTGGGAACCAAGTTGTGAAGCTAAACACAGGAGTTTTTATTTTATCCTTGAGGTAATAAATAGGAAGTCATTGGAGTTGATTGAGAGCAGGAAAGTGATATTCAGATCTGCATTTAAGGAGAATTACTTTGGCATCATTGTGTAGTATGGAATGAAATGGTGAGGAAGTCATTGGAGACCAGTTAGGAAGATGTTACAAATATCCAGGCAAGAGGTGATGAGGGCCTGACCTAAGGTGATAACTGTCTGGGTAGAGAGAAGGTATTGGATGTATATTTTGGAGGTAGAATCAGCAAGATTTGCAAGTGATTGGATATGTGTGAGGGAATAAGGAGTTGGGAACAATGCGAAGGGTATAAATCTCATCACCTAAAAGAATGATGCCTTTGACAGAAAAATTGAAGTTTGGAAAAGTAGAAGGGTTGGAGGTAAAAATAATGAATTTAGTTTTGGACATTTTGAGTTGTAGATATCTCAGGGACTTCCAGTTTGAAATTTCCACCTTTCACAATGTGGGACTGGAGATCAGGAAAGAATATGGGGCTTCATAAAATATTTGACAGTCGTTTGCATAGAGATGATAGTTAAATTCACATGATCATATCAGCAGATACACAGAGTTTTGGGGAAAATTATAATAAAACTTTAAAAACAATAGAAATAGAAGGGACCTTGTAAATTATGATAAAATAGAATGTATCTAAACCTCAAAGCTAGCAATATTTATAATGCAAAAATACCACTTGCTTTTTCCTAATAAATTTAGAGTAGAACAACCTTGTCAAATAATAGTGGGGAGAGGTGACAACCTTGCTTTACCTCAGATTTATTAGGAAAGCATGCAGCCTATTTCCATTACAAATATTGTAGCTTTGGGGTTTAGGTACATAGCAATTCACATTCAAAGACTCATAGAAATATTATTTGAAAACATTTTTTTTTCTAGAAGTAAAGGAAGGCAAAAAATTGGAGGAATAGACAGTTTATGGATGGGCCATACCAATATAGAAGTGATTAGGACTAGACCATTATTGATTCAGGAAATTCCCAGATAAGGAAACTCTTTTTTTTTTTTTTAAGGCAGTTGGGGTTAAGTGACTTGCCCACGGTCACACAGCTAGTAAGTGTTAAGTGTTTGGTCTGAGGCTGGATTTGAATTCAGATCCTCCTGACTTCAGGGTTAGTGCTGTATCCACTGGGCCACCTAGGTGCTCCCAGGAAACTCCTTCTGTCAGTGCAAGTTGGCACCTTCTTTGCAACTTACAATTTTAAGGAGTTAGCAAGAGTACTGAAGGGACAAGTGACTTGTCTCACACACAGCCAGCATGTGTCAGAGGTGAAGCTTAAGCCTTGGGCTTTGAAAAGAGCTCTCTAGACCATACCACACTGATAAAACAAAGATGACCATACTATAAAATTTAATTTACAGATTTCCAGGCACATATAACTATATGGTAGGTTCACAGATTTAGAGCTGGAGGGGAGTTTGATCATCAAGTCCAACCTTTCCATATTGCAGATAAGGAATTAAAGCCCAGGACATAAAGCAACTTTCTCCAAGGTCACATGGGTAGTAGTAACAGCTGAGTTTTGAACCCAGGTCTTATGACTCCAAATCCAGTGTGCTTTCCACTGTGCTTCTCTATACTTTTTATTTATGGATTAAAATTTTTTTTGAATAGATGAATAAAACAGATCAGTGGAGCAAGAAACAAAAATGCTGCAACTCAGTATCCCAGGGTTTGGTCAGCCCACTAACATAAATAATTGAGGGAAGGATTCCTTATCTTTCAGGAACCTATAGGTTAACTATAAAGTAGTTTGGCAGAAAATAAGTTTAAATGACCATGTTGCATTGTATTGTATAATAAGTTCCATATGGATATATGCCCTAACTATGAAAAAAAATTAGAGGATAATAAAAGGAAAAACCTTTCATATTTATGGCTAGTGGGAGAATTTTTAGTGAAACAAGGAAGAGAAATGATAGTGTGGAGATGATGATAATTACAATAATGATGTTATACTCTCGAGCACAGAATTTGGAAGAGAACTTGGATTTAAATCTGCCTTCTACTTCTCTGATAAAATCTGGTATCTATGATTTTTAGGGAATTAATACAGATATATAAAACCAAGAACCTTTCCCCAATAGATAAGATGTGAATAGTTTTCAAAAGAATTGCGAACTATCAGCAACTATATGAAACATTGTGCTTAATCTCTTATAATGAGAGAAATGTAAACTAAAACAGCCCTGACATTTCACCTCACATGCAACAAGTTGGGAAAAAATTGATAAAAAATGGAAAATAGTGTTCAAAGGATTGTAGGAAAACATACATAGTAGTGGAACTCTAAATTGGTCAGTCAGTAAATCAGTGAACATATATTAAGACCTACTGTGTACCAGGCATTGTATTAAGCTAAGAGGACACAAAAAGAAGGAAAAGACAGCTCCTAGCCTCAAGGAGAGCTAACCATTCTGGAAATAAATTTAGAATTATGTAAGCAGTATCACTAAATTGTTGACCCAGAAATCCAACTACTGTTTGGTAGGTTCACAGATTTAGAGCTAGAAGGGAGTTTGGTCATCAAGTCCAACCTTGTTATATGGACTTGTTATACATTCATAAGTATGTATATCCTAAAGAGCTCAAAGAGAGAAGCAGTACCATATATACTCAAATATTTATAGTAATACATTTTATGGTAGCAAAAAACTGGAAACAAATTGGGTGCCTGTTGATTGAGAGGATAACTGAACAAGTTGTGGTATGTGAATGTCTTGGAATATTGTTGTGGTATAATATTTGATGAACTGATAAAGACTGAAATGAGTGGACTCAGAACAACATTACATACATTGACTATAATAATGTAAATGAAAGAACTATAAATTGAAGCTGATTGTTGAGTGATTTTAATGACCAGTTTGGACCTGAGAGAAGAGGTAAGGAAATGTACCTCTCTTTTTTTTTTAGTAGAGATTGTAGTCTCTAGGAATAGAATGTTCAGGACAGGATCAGATAGAGTCTTTTTTTTCTTCTTACAAGTTAGAGCTTATGGGGATGGGGATGGGTTATGGATATGCAGAAAAGACTGATATAGAAACATAAGTCATCAATAAAAAGGATAGGAGCTTTACTCAATGTTAGTCAGAGTACAAGAAGAAATCATCCCTGAAATTATAATGTAAATCTCTGCAAAAATAAGGTTTTATTTAATTTAAATTTTCTGGAATAGCATATATTTAGGAACACTCCATTTCTTGCCCTTGGGACTTTATACTGATTTCTTCCCACTTTCACCTTTAGTTTCCCTGGCTTCCTTCAAGATTCAGCTCAATTCCTACCTTTTGCATGAATTCTTTCTTCCTCTCCCCTACTGTTTCTACTGTTTCCTCTCAAAGATTACCTTTTAGCTACTCTGTGTGTGTATCTAGTTATTTATATGTCATCTTTCCCTGCCTCCCTCACCCCTATATAGCTTTTTTTCTTCCCTCCCTCTCCTTTTCCTTCCCTTTCCTCCCCTTGTCTCCATCTTTCCCTTTCCTTCCTTTTTCTAATAAAAGACAATTAACCTGTGTCTGATTAGAGGTACACACACCAGTTAACAAAGTAGTAGTTTGCATTATGATCTTATTGATATTGGAGACCTTCCTATTTATCGTAAGACCATTTATTCATGTGAAAGTGGTGCTTATCATAGTGCTGTACACATAGTGATTATTTAATCAATATTTGTTATTGATGAATAGTGGCTTTAAATAAAATATTAAGCATGCTTTTGTCTGGGTATTATGTTTGTTCTAGTTCTAATTCCATACTGTGAAATAATTTTGAAATATTTATGTTCCAGTAAAACGATAAGCTTTTTTAAAAAATTGAGTATTGAAAAAAGTCCCTCAAATACTTTGTATACCTATTATGCTGCAACCAATTACTTTCCTCTTTTTTCCTTCCCAGTGCTGAACTGAAGCTTTTAGAGGAAGCCACCATCTCAGTCTGCAAGTCTTTAGGTAAGAGAGTTAATATCAGTTGATGAACAGGTTTTATTTTATGATAATCTATAGTTTTAGCTTATAGCATTCCTTAGATATGGATTAAACACTCATTTATAAGATAATCTTGTTTCTCAAGAAGTTGGTTCACTACCCCATATTTTTGTAAACAACTTAACAGTTTTGATTTGGTTCTTTTAGTGTACTCAAGGTTTAAAGCTGAGTTGTTTATCGTGGTGTTTAATGAATATTCTTTTTAAAAAAAGCACTCCACTCTTCTAAAATCTTTTGCTACTTTAGGAGGATAACACGTTATAGAAAAATTGTATATTAATATGATTCAGCTGCTTCCTTGAACTATAGTGACAGTATTGACTGTGAGAAGTCTATGCATATTGGAATGTGCTTAAGAGAGACAACAGCATTTTGCAGCTAAGAGTTCATGGTGTAATGAGTAATGAGTGTGATGGGGGTAGTTGAAGTTGGCTTCTTGGAAAGAGGTGAACATAGGACTAGATTTGGATGGAAGGGATGGGCATGAATTGGTGGAAAAAGAGGATTGGGGACATTACAGGCAGAACACATGGCATGAGGAGAGGCAGGGAAGCAGGAAAGAGTGTGTAGGAAGTAGCACCATGTTCTTTCTACCATGCCATATTTTGTCGTTAGAATGGAAGAACGGAAGCTATATATAGAAGGTTAGATTTGGATTTCAACAGACTTTAGATGAAGGAATTAGTTAATCAATCGATAAGCATTTATTAAGTGCCTAGTGTGCTTCAGTCAGTCAACAACAAGCATTTATTAAGTGCCTGCTATGTGCCAGGTACAGTGCTAACCACTGGAGATGCAAAAAAAAAAATAGTCTTTACTCTCAGAGAGCTCACAGTCTTATGGAGGAGACAACATGAAAACAACTATGTACAAACAAAATATATACGGGATAAATTGGAGGTAGTTTTAGAGGAGAGGCACTAGAGTTAAGGGGGATGGTCAGGAAAGGCTTCTTGCAGAAGGTGGAATTTTTAGCTGATCCTTGAAGTAAGCCAGGGAGGCCAGAAGACCAGGCCAGGAGACAGATTAGGAAGAGGAGAACTTCAGGCTTGGAGAGAGCCATTGAAAATGTCTGTAGTTTTGTGTTTTCAGGAGGAATCCAGATTTTAGTGAGTTCAAAAAGATGCAAAGAGAGGGAAAGGAAAAGGCTTAAGATGAAAGCAAGTTCATTATCTATGGAGCAGGCATTCCAAAGAACATAGTGGAAGGGCTGGGTAACTTTAGAGTGGGACATTCATGGGGTTGAGGGAGAAGGGAATAGGGGAATAGGCAGGGAAGGGAACAGAGAACAGGATTTGCCTGAGTGCTGGGATTACAGAATCACTGGAATGAGGAGGGTAAGATTGGGTGAGAGTTTGTTAAATTGGTCAGATAGTCAGTCAGTAAGCATTTATTAAGTGCTTACTATGTGTCAGGTGCTATGCTAAGTATTGGGGGTACACAAAGAGTCAAAAGACAGTTCTTGCCCTCAAGGAACTCATACTGTAATGAGTTCAGTAGGTTATCCACATCCCCAGGGAGGATAACGCCTTAGACAAAAAGACAGGAAACAAGCATTTCTTAATCACTTACTATATGTCAGGCACTGTACTAAGTACTGGAGATAAAAATACCAGCAAAAACAGAGTCCTTCCTCTCAGGGACCTTACATTCTCAAGGAGGGAATGGGTAGAGGAGGGAAATGAAGGTACCTGGCCAGGGGCTGTGGTTTTGAAATCTGGAAGTCAGAAGTGGGACCAGGAGGGACATGAATCCTCAGGGCAGCAGGGTGTAACTGGAAAAGAAGGGGAGGGGGCACTTTGCTAGGTTTTTGGGTTACAAAGAGAAATGTTTCCTGTTCTTGCATTCAAGGAGCTTACATTCTGTGTGGGGGAGGCTGTGTGTACATTTACATATATGTGTACACATATGTATGTATGTGTGTATATACACACATAAGATGATTTGGGAGAAGAGGGTTCTAGTAGTTGGGAAGATCAGGATTGTGGAGATCTTGGCATGTTTGTAGGCAATGGGGAAAAGACATGGAGGATTGTGATAAAGGCCTTGATGAGGAGAAGGGCCATCTCTTCATCAGAGACAGGAATAAAAGGAGAGAAGGGACCATGATGTCATGGAGTTGTGAGATAATAGAGAAGAGGAGCCTCATGGTGAATGGTTTTTATTTTCTTAACAAAGTATGAGGCCAGGTCCTCTGCTGAGCCAGTAGGCATAGGAGATTGTGTGGGAAACTTGAGGAGGGGGGAATTGGTTTGGAATAGCCACTGTGGAAAGTATGATACAGAATCATTTATTGAGGGGATAAACGGAGTGCCTTGTTTCAGTGATGACCTAATTGAGATTAAATAAGAAGGGCAGCAGTTAGGTGGTTCAGTGGATAGTGTTGGCCCTGGAGTCAGGAAAGCCCGAGTTCAAAGGCAGCCTCAGACATTTACTAACTTTATGACCCCTGGGCAAGTCAGTTAATATCTGTTTGCCTTAATCCACTGGAAAAGGAAATAGCAAACTACTCCAGTATCTTTGCCAAGAAAACCCTGTAGATAGCATTGGTGTGCTTTGGTCCATGAGGTCACCAAGAGTTAGACAGGATTGAAAAACAACAACAACAATGAAATTTGTAGTAGACCTACTATGCATGATGGATTGCATGATTTCCTCCAGCACCATTCAGTATATATATGTACATATTGTCTTCATTGACAAAATACATGCTTCTTGAGGGCAAGAATTGTTTTACTTCTCTTTGTGGCACTAATGCCTGGCATATAATAGGTACTTAATGAATGAAAAAGAACTTAAGCACATAAGTGCAAAGCTCTGTGCTTTAATAAATTTAATGAATAATTGTCTGTTGATTTATTATATTTCACCTTATTTTATAAATTACTTTCTTCACAATAATCCTGTGTAGGTAGTACAAATGTAAAGAACCTTTGAGATCTTTTAATCTGACCTAGAGCAAGAATCTTTTCTATGCCATATGGGCATTCAGCCTATGCTCAAATGCTTACAGTGATTTTCCAGTGATAAAACACTTGCAAGTTTGTTGTTGTTGTTGTTGTTAGGTTGAGCTGAAATCTCCCTCCTTGAAATTTCTACCCATTGGTCCTAGTTTTACTTTCTACACAAAACAAGTCAATTCTTTAGCAGCCTGACAGCTTTCCAAATATTTTAGAACAGTTATATCCCCCTTATTCATCTTCATAATCAACATTGCCAGTTCCAGACCCCTTAATATTTCATATTCACTCCTTTAGTTGAAACCACTTTGTCAGCTTCCTCCTAAATTGTGGTACTAAGAATTGAACATATTATTTTGGATATGGGCTGACCAGCATAGAGGCCAAAGGTACCATCATTTCCCTTTTTGTTATGATGCTGTACATTCATGAAAGGCAAGATTCCGTTGTGATTTTTGTTTGCCATATCACAGAGTTGACTTATGAACTTGAAGTCAAATAGAAACCTCAGTCACATGAATGGCTATTAAACCACATCTCTTCCATCTTATATTTGTTCATTTGGCTTTCTGAAGCCATGTGCAGAAGTTTCTATTTATCTGTTAATCAGTATTCTTTGGGAACAGTAATCTAACTAGTTGTGTAAGGAAAGCAGTGTGGTTCAGTGGAAAGAGTGCTGAATTTTGAGTCAGAATTGATTTTGAATTCCAATTTTGTCACTTAATACTTTTGTGATCTTGAGTAAGTTACTTAACAACCTCTTTGGGTCTTAGTTCCCTCATCTCTAAAATGATAGGGTTGGACTAGATGTCCTCTCAGGTCCCTTTCTGTTCTAAAAATTGTGATCCAATGAAAACACAAGGTTCATTTCTGCATGTTGTCTATAAGGATAGTATGAGGGACTTTGTCAAATTGTGTCTGTGATCTGCTTGCATAATAGATTTATTAAAAAAGGAAATTTGATTGTTGTGATTTGTCACTTAAATTGTCATGATATCTAATCATCACAATTTCTGTTTCTTAGCATACATTATATCAAAGTACTTTGATGACTCCAAAGCACCAAACACTTGTAAACCTTTTACTGTGATTAAGGACCAGCAAATCTCATGTTTAATAATATGTTCCAAATTTTGTTTCCTAGTCTATAGTTTTCCAAATCCATGCTTTTCTCTGCTTTGAAATTGGGACAGTATTTGCCTGTTTTCAGTCTACTGGTACCTCTCTCATTCTTTAGAATTTGTCAAAAATAATTGACAGCTGTTCAGTCAGTGATCATATCTTTAGCTTTTTTCATTGTTCTACCATAGAGTTCATCTGAGCCAAAAAATGAGAAGTCATTTCTCAAATGCTTTCCTTTCCCAACTTAAGATTTAATTCACTCTTATCTGTGTTTATTCTGTTCTTTCTAGCTTCAGGATAATTTCTTTTTCTCATATGTTGACAGTATTTCATTTATCCTAAGCTTCTGCCTCTTTGTTGTTCTTGCTCCTTGCATACCTTTCTTTCCCCTCTGCCTTCTCAACCATCCTCCACTCTCAGCAAACAAACCAACAAACAAAGCCCCATGTATTGTCATGACATTTTTTAGAGCTTCTCCTTGGCTTTAGTCATTCTGACATTTATATGTGTTAGTGCCACTTTTTAAAAATTTTTTTCTTTATCTGCTTTCTTCTCATCTATTCTATTTATCCTTTTAATTTGTGGATTCACTTGGAGAGATAATCCAGTCATTCTGGTTTCTTTAAAAGTTCTCTCTTTTTTTCCACTCATTGAGACCATTTATTATTGTGTTGTCAGGATTCCATTTTTTAGAGCCCTTCTTCCCTCTTTATCCAGCTTTCATTTTTGTAGTCTCTTGTCATAGGGTTATGTCTGCCATTTTCCTAAATCTTCCAAGTACTATTTTCTAAACAAGAAGGGAAGACATTTAAAGAGGCTAATGTGGCTTCACAAGGAAGCTAGGGTACATATTCGACTTCTCAGCATACCTTTCATTGACTAACATAAACTGTAAGATCACATGGTATTTCCCACTCCCTAGCACCTTCAATACTCTTTCCATATTTTTCCATAGTTCTAATAAGTTTTTCTTTGTTGGCTAGAATTATGTCTAGACCAGCAGTTTCCTTTGTTGTTCCCTCTAACTTCTGGGTGTTGAAATTATTTATCAGTAAGGAACACCAAGAACATAGAGATTCTCAGATTTGAGGTGAACAAGATTTTTAGCAGATGTCTTGACAGCTGAAGTTCTTTTTACTATATCTTCTTGGCTCTGTGCTAGTTTTGTAATCTAGCAGCATGCCGTAGTGGATAGAAAACTGGCTTTGGAAAGATGTGGGTTCAAGTTTCTCCGCTGTCACATAGTCACATAGCAAGTCACTTAAACCTTTGAGAGTGCTTTTAGGCCCTAAGGCTGTAAGTTGTAGAGAAGGTGCCAACCTGCATTAGCAGAGGGAGTTTCCACAGCCCAGAATTTCATACCAGTGAAATCACATATCCAGTCCTTAATCTGAATTCTACATTAATGTGATTATAAGAAATGGTATTTGACTCTTAAAACATCATTTTTTTTCCTTGCAGTTGAAAATAATCCTCGAACAGGCAACCTTGGAGCACTCATAAAGGTCTTTCTTTCTAGAACCAAAGAATTAAAAATTTCAGCAGAATGTCAAAAGTAAGTTGCATGATGAAATTGTAATGCCTTTATATTTAATGTAATGCCATGAAGGTTTTAACTGTTCATTTATTGGTTGAAGGAGACTGCAGTTGTGTCTTTGTTAGCCCATCTGGTGGCATTGTGCCATTATTATGAGGATAATAAAGCACAAGAAGAAAGATTAGAATCAATTGACATAAACAGCAAAATAAATGGAGTGGATGTAATTTTTGGAATATTTGAGCTTCCCAACTGAAGTGTGTGTGTAGGTGTGTGTATAATGTGTATAGATGTACACACACACACACACATACACACACACGTGCTTTTTAGGTAGTAGATTTAATAGTAACATTTATGACATTTGGAGTTTTATAATTTGCCATTGTCATAACTGGATTGATTTTGTTTCAATAAGATTCAAAATTGGATAGTAACTCACAAATCTGCTTCCATGTTTTCTTTCACATTGGATTATTTATATTTTCTTTATTTACATTTTCTGTTGAATTTAGAAGGTTAAGGAAGGTGTTTCCTGTATTTAAGAAGACAAACCAAAGAGCAAAGTAGTAGTTTAAGTCTTGCAGCAGCATCATTTTAAAATTATTAATTAAACCCATTTGTAGTCTGTTAGATACCACATAAAGAGGACTGTGCCCTGGAAAGTTCAGAAACTGAGCATTTCCAGGGCATTGTCGTTGATTGTTCTGTGTGAGCAAATTATAAGAAAATTACTGAAATTATGGGTGGTCTTGCTAATTAAGGAACTCATAAAAATTAGGCTATCTTTTGGAGAGTGTTAAGGCCTCAGGTATACCTATACTTGTTTTTATAAAATAAACATTTTTGTCAGTGGTCTGATTTATTGATTTGTGTTTAACATACTTATTTTAAAAATTATTTGGGAATACTTCTGTTTAATTTGATGTATACTCCCAAGTATATAAATCCTGTAAAATATAAAGTCTGACAGAACTTCTTAATGGACATAGAAGGAAATTCTTTGAAGTAGTAATACTCTTTTCATACTAAATAATGAGACCTTATTTATGATAATCCTTCACTTACCTTGTACTGAGAAGAAATGAAATAATCCAGACAAGTGAATATTTAATATAACTGAAATTTAACCCTTTCCTTAGAAACTGATATTTTAACTGTTTTTGAAGGAAATACTTTAAAAATAATATGCTTCCCTTATTTCTTATAGCTGTTTTAATGACAGAGGGTTATCATAGTAAAAACCGGTTTTTAGCTATTTTGTAGCTATAGTTGTGCTAACTGAGGTGATGTGGGACTTTGGTTTTTAGCTTCTGATACCAAGAAGGCACTGGATAACCATCTTTATTTAAAAAAAAATCCCTAATGTCATCTCATATTTTTGGTTATTTGCCTTTTTCTTTCTTTCTTTTTTTTTTGTTTTTTGTTTTTTCTTTTTTGGCAATTGGGGTCAAATGACTTGTCTAGGGTCACACAGCTAGTAAGTATCAAGTGTTTGGTCTGAGGACAGATTTGAATTCAGGTCCTCCTGACTTCAGGGCTGGTGCTATATCCACTGTGCCACCTAGCTGCTCCTTATTTGCCTTTTTCTTGAAAAGCTGAAATGAAGCGTACCCAGCTGCATGCTTTCTAATTAGTTTTCTGTAAAATTCCTTGTTGAACGAAAGACCAATACAGCTTCTCCCAAATGGTCATATTGCCTTCCCAGAAAACCTTTTTCTTTCCTATTACTATCAATATTTTTGACTTATCATTGTTACTTAAAAGATGATTTATTATTTCTGACTCACTAACAAATTGGAAGCTGGCACCTCCTTTTCAGTTTGTACTCACTCTTACACTATTCGTCTTAACACTATTTGTTGCTAGAATGAGAAAGTGGGGAGTATTAGTTACCATTTCAAGAATTTGTGCTTGAGTAGTTTGGGGAACATTTACTCTAAAGCTTTCAAATTCACAGAATTCACAGAGCAGAAAGTACTTCTGCCAACTTGACTTCCAGGTGCAGTTTTTTCATAATCTTTCCTGAATATTTAATTTTTGCCAGAATTCCAGGTAAAGTCAACATTAAAAATTACACCTTTAATGTTATAACAACCATGAAAATCTTTCAGGGTGCCTCCATAATGGATCAATTTTCTCATGAAATCTTTTCTGTGTTAACATTTCATGTTTTGAACGCCCATATGTTGGATCAATGGGGTAACATTGGCAGGAAAGGAAATGGTAAAAATATTACCAGACACTAACCTTTCAACAGGATGAGATCTATAATTATTTAACATTAGAATTCTAGGATGATGAAAATTTCTCATCACTTCCATTTCATAGAAATATGCAGCATTAATTCATGTAGGAATAGTCTGTTATTCTCTTTAAATCTGGGAGGACTTGATTTATTGTTACCTGCAGAGTAGAAATTGGCAGATGTTGCCATTGTAGACCATTTTGTCAGCATTATAAAACTCTTGTGTGGATAGACCATGTCCAGAAATGAGTCCTCTTAAAAAGACACAGTATTCATTAGCACAACACTGCAATTTGCTGGTTATTTTCACCAGCTATAGTTAGAATTCTAATGCTCTGCCTCATTTTCAAAAATAAAAGCCATCCAACTGAAAATATAGACTGCTTAGTCAGCTGCATTTTTTCTCATTCTTTTTAAAAGTTTTATTGATTTTTTTCTTCTTTTCTTTTTTTATATGTTGTCACTTTACAGTGACTGCCTTCCTCTCATTCCTCTGTCCTTCCCCCATCTTCCTTTGTAACAAATAAATACAGTCAAGCAAAACAAATCAGCATCTGCATTATCCTGCATCTATAGTATACCGTCTCTTTGCTAAGGGGTGAGAGGTATGTTTTACCATCAGTCTTCTGAAGTCATGATTAGACATTTTATTAATCATGGTTCAGAAGTCTTTCAGTGTTGTTTTCCTTTATGTTATTATGGTCATTTTATAAATTGTTTTGGTGGTTTTTGGTGGGTCTGCTAATTTTGCTTAGTATCAATTCATACAAGTCTTCTTTAATCTCTTCATAGAGATTCACTCTTATAAAGCGCTGTCCAGGGGTCCTGGTTGAACGGGGGACCTGATATGTGGTGATGCTCAATGTCTTTAGTTGGTGCCTAATCTGCAAAGAATTTGAGCATCCTGAAACTTGGTAACATGTGAACATATTGTAGCTATCATCATTTTCCTATGTTTAGCTTTTCAAGTTGTGGACAGAATTCTTTTTTTCTCAAGATTAGGACAATTTTTTTTCTTCCTTTTTTCCTAATTTTTTTCTTTTGCATTTCATTTGAAATTATCATGCAATGACTGCTACCTGGTTCTTTTTTGTTCACATATTCAATGTTGTACATGTAAGAGTCTTCTTCTGTATTGGAACTTCATTTATCATTATACTGAACCCCTTTGAAAACTGCACTGTCCTGGTTTCTGTGCTTTAAGTGTGCTGCTGCTTGAATGTATTGATGGCTGTACAAGATTACAGAAATAAAAACTTTGTCTTTTAAAAAAATCATCCTCCCCACTCCAAGAGACTGCAGATGGTTGGGTGGCTGATGACCATTTATAAGCACAGTGATGTCTTCTGAAATTGCTGACATTTATATTTACTGAGTATCTACCTACTGGGAGAAAGGTATATGCAAATGATTTCAATACCAGGCAGGATGTGATACGTCTATAAGAGTAGAAAAAAACAATGAGCTAAGGAATTCGAAGGAGGAAGAGAGAGTTTGCAACAAGGGGTGAACAGAAAAGATTTTCATAATGTAGATGATGTGAGCAGGATCTAAAAGTAGAATTTCAATAAGTGGAGAGAGAAGAGCTGGAAAGAGAGATCTAAATGTGCTGAGAAGGTGTCCTGTTTATAGTTTTACTGTTTTATATCTTTATGGCTGTTGAGACCTAGATGGCTGTTTGTGTGTGTGTGTATGTGTGTGTGTATGTGCTCGCATGTGTGTGCACACACATGTATATGTGCATACCTTCTAACCTGACTGGTTTTTTTTTTTGACTGTTTTTTTTTTTAAAAACTATTATCCCTTTTTCTCTTTGACAAAGTTCTGCTGCTTGCCAGCCTTCTCTTAGTTTCTAATCTCTGCCGCTACAATTGCTGCAGATACAGTTGTGTATCTTTGCTTCTTCTGCTCTCTCTGCTGTTGGCTGTATTCTTCTCTTCACTTTTCCCTTTTGTTCTCTCCTCTACATTCTTTTTTTATTTCTTGGCTTTTGTGCTGAGAACCTTCCTTTTTCTGATTGATTACTTGTCTGATCACAGCATCTCAGTTGTAATCTTTAGGCCTTGGACTCTAATCAGCTGTTTCTGTTGTTACTGACTGTTTAGGTACTACTTCGCTGACACTAAAAAACAAACAAACACCCAAACAACCAAACTTCTGAGTTTATTGCTTTGGGCTGCAGAAATTTGACTTCAGTAACTGTATTAATATTCTTAGTCTAGAACTTAGTTTTGATGCTGGAGCTCTCTTTATAATGTGATCATTTTTGGATGTTCTCTTGAGTTTTTATTATATGTGTTCACTTGTTTATTGCCTTTGCTGAAAAGTTGTACATTGTGGAACAATTAAAGAATCAGAAACAAAAGTGCAAGCTTTCTCCCAAGACTGATTTAACTTTGAATCATTTTTGAAAACTCATATTACTGCATGTCAGTTGCAAAATTATGATTCTACATAATAGGTATCTTTGGCCTTATGTTGTAATTAATATACGTAATATAATGAACAGGAGCATGTATATCTCAAAACATCAATAGAGCAGGCGCAGTGCTTGACAGGATGAGAAGGATTTAAGGGATAGACATAAGATGTTTTTGTTCATAAATTAAGCATTGATTCTTGTGATTTTTTCTCGTTTTCTTTGTAGCCACCTCTTTATTTGGCAGGCCCACAACGCTTTGTTTCTTATTTCTTGTTTGCTGAAAGTGTTCATCTGTCAGATGCCTGAGGAGGAAATGCAGCTTCATTTTACTTATGAAGAAAAATCTCCAGTCACTTATCGTAAGTATTCCTTTGTAAGGGATAGAAAGCACATGGATAAACAAGGCATCTGTGAAAAAGGAAAGCATAAGATTAGAGGGGGCAGCGAGTTAAAGGTTTTTTCCCTCATATCCATTCAGTCCTACATATACTCTGTATTCCTTTCCCCCATAACATCTGCATTTTACACTTTTCCCTCCTTTTACAACCTTAGCATTGCTAAACTTCCTTTAGGACTTACTAATATTGATTGTATTTATTTCGCTTATTAGGGCATACCTTATCACAGTAAGTCCTCATCTTTTTGTGAGTAGGATGTACAGTTTTGTTTTTTTCCTTCCTGAAACTTAAATATATTTGGTAGGGAGAGGAGGGAGAGATTATAGGTGGGTGATGTTTGTATAATGAAATACTTGAATGGGGAGGGTGATTGGTTGAGTGCCATCAAGCCAAGGGGAGCTTGAATTTCTGGTCAGTTGTGGATTGCAGGGTTTGCTATTAGTATCAAGCCATGCCCTCCTCTTCACTGGAAATCCCAGAAAGAAATTGGGCTTGGCAGCATCCTCTTCTCTAATGACCACCAGATCTAAGCTTTTCAGCTTTAAGGCTGCCTTCATTTTTCTTTTCTTCTTCTGTGAGTCTGGTTCATAATCTCATATATATATATTCATATTTATATCTGCCTAGTTTTAATATTGAAATAGAAGCTTTCATGCCTATGTACAAAGCCCCAGCAACAAGAAAAAGAGAAGGAAATATTTGTTGTCTTTTGTTGAAATGAAAGCCAGTTGCCTGAGATCAGATTAGGGACTTGCTTTCCCTCCTTTTCAATCTTCTGTTACTTTTCCTTCCATTTCCCATCTTTATCCCAAGGAGTAAAAGATACTGTTTTATATTGCAAGTAGGTTTTTCTGGGAAATAATTCTTTTATAGTCTGAAAATATGGAACTTAATATTTGACAGGAAAGGCTATGATTAAAAATAACTTTAGGAATCTGCCTAATGTTAGTTTAATTTTTTAAGTTGTTAATAATTGACTACTAGTATTGAGTAGTTACATCACTTTAAAGTGATATTAGATTTTTAAAGGTATTAGATTTTAAAACAAGGTAGAAATATCATGAGTCTAAAGTACAGGGGTTTGTATCTCTAGAGCTTCTCCCAAACATTTATTTCACTTTATTAAAGCCTTGTGCCAAAGGAGTCCAAATGTTGGCAGATCTTACCGAGAGAGAGGCTTCAATGAAGTATGAGTATGAGCCAGGTTTTTGCCTTTAGATGATCCTAGCTAAGTGCCATGTGTCATCACTATCAAATTAGGGATGAGGAATATATACTAAGGCACAGAGAGTTTTCAGTCTGTGATGTTGAAGGGAATGTCTACAATAATGAAGTCATAGGTGTTTGAAGTGTTGAAATAAGCATAAGTGATGGGAAGTTTTAGATGCTCAGTAAATACTTTTTGGATTTATTTGACTTGAGAATCAGTGTTGTGTAATGTATATTTGAATATTTGGGTTCAAAAACTACTCAGACAATATTTATATGACCCTGTAGTTAGATGCCTCAGTTTGTCATCTAAAAAACAAAACAAAATGCTCTATCCCCTATCCATGTGTCCACCACTGTAGTTCTGTTGCTCAGAGTCTCCTAATTTGTCTCCCTTCCTCCAGTCTCTCACTGTTTCTGTCACTCCTTGCACAAGAAACCCCAATGGCTCCATCTTGCCTCTAGGATAAAGACTTTTAGTTTGGCCTCCAAAGCACTTTACAGTTGACCTCCACCTTACCTTTCCAGGCTTATGTCCTCTCCTTCATGTATCATACATTCCAACTTGGCTTCCTGGCTTGCTGCTCTCCATACACAAACTTTCAGATCCTATCTTGTTGCCTTTTACAAGTCGTCATCCATGCCTAGAATGAAATTTTTCCTCACATCTGCCTCTTTGAATCCCTAACTTCCTCCAAAGTGTACCTCAGGTACAACTAATGCCAGTCATTAGTGCCCAGTTGATGGAAATTACTTTTTATCTATTTTGCATTTACTTTTTTACTTATTATTTAATGTAAATGCCTTGATGGCAGAGACTGTTTTGTTTTTTATATTTTTATCCCCATTGTATGGCATATAGTAAGTACTTCATAAATGCTTATTAAATGGGTGAATGAATTACATGGATATAATAATTACACCTTTCTCAAAAGGATTGTTGTTAGGCTTAAATGAGATAATGTAAATAAATTGTAATGTAAATAAAATGTAATGTAAATAAAGTGCTTTGCAAACCTTATAACTATTAATTAATAAACTATTGTTAATTAACATTAGGAAATATTTTTTAATCATTTTAGGGACAGTAAAATTCAGATTCTTCTTTCTGATCCTAAAATACTGACTCTACAGTTCTGTGATTACAAAATATGGAGAGAATTAGCATGACCATTGTAGCTAAATGAATGGTATGCTTAGAATGGTAAGGCATATTTTTATTAATATAATAATAATAATTATTATGACAACTATTTTTATTAATCTCAGCACTAGTTGGTCATCAATTCATTAAACCATCTTCTAAGGTATGAGGGACTGGTACTTGAAGATTTCTGGTGAGGGGCAGCTCATTCCACTTCTGGAATGCCTTGATTGTTAGGAACCTTTTTTTTCCCCAGTCAAGTTGAAATCTGACAGTCTTCAACTTTTACCCATTGCTCCTAGTTCTGCTATATGGGGTCAGAAAGCACTCATTAAATATTATCTGTGAGACACTGTCCTAAGCTCTCAGGCAGAACAAACTTAACCTCTTTTCACATGACATGTTGCCCTTCATGTACTTGAAAGCGACTATTGATGTTTCTTAAGTCTTTCTGTTTTCAGGTTAACATACCTAGTTCCTCCAGCCAGCTCTCATATAGCATGGTCTCCAGCCCTTTCATAGTCTGGTCATCTTCTTCTGGATGCTTTCAAATTGATCAAAATCCGTCTTCATATATTGCATGCAGGAATGAACACACTATTTTATGTAGTCTGATATGGTAGAGTTCAGCAGATCCAGTGTTTTTGTTTTCTGTTTTTTTTTTTCATTATACTACACTGCAACAGAAATAGGTGTTACAAAGTCTATATACCTTAATTGTGGAATAGACCTTCATTTATTGTTTATTTACTCTTATTTTAGCCATAATTCAAACAATCTTGATTTTTGGTTTCCTAGTCTGTAGCGGATTTGAAGTAGCAAATTAGAAGCAGGCTGGAAGACTACAAGAGGAAAACACACTCAATAAGCATTTATTAAGTGCCTACTGTGTGTCAATCACAATACTAAGCACTGGACACTGACATTCTCTACCAGTGCAGATCATAGCTCTTTATTGCCTAAGTAAATGGTCTTCATGAATTGCAGTAGCCACACACATAAAAAAAGGTCCTGGTGATCAGCCTTTTGGTTATAAACTTTTCTACACTGAGCTAACTAAGGTGGTCCTCTGGGATGCATCCACAGCTTTAAGTCTTTTGAGTTTACTAAGATCTATCAGTACTCATAGTCCTCTGACTTAGCTTTAAGAAATGGTCATGTCCACACCAAGAAGAAGTATTAGAATAGGATTTTAGTGGAGGAAGCATGTAAATAATGAAAAGCATGCAGTAACAGTAAAAGCACAATAGTTCCTGACTATTTAGTGTAGATCTCAGCCATCCACCATTTTGCAGCAGCCTTTCAGGACATCTTTTTATATTCAGTAGGAGAAAATAAAAATTATAATGATGACCCTGTATCACTGGAGAAAGGTTAAATTGGGCTCATCATACTCTTAAGAAGCCAAGGAAATATTTTAAAGTAAACTTTTGCTATTTTTTGTTTTGCATCATCTGTGTTTCCTAGTGTATCATTTCCCCATACCTTCCTAGAGAATCATCTTTTATAACAAAGAACAAATAAGAGGGGAAGAAAAGTTAAGCAAAATTAAGAAATCAAGAAAAGGTTGACATTATATGTGGTGTTATACACCTATAATTCCTAAACTCTATAAAGGGGGGGAAGGTATGTTCTATTTCTGATTGTTTGCTTTTGCAGGCAGTGTGGTTAGCCTCTTTTTAAACTTATTTTTAGAGGGAAATTTTCTACAGATTTCTACCTCAAATGTAAAAGCTAATGAAAAATATAGATATGTGTAAAGCTTTAGTGATTGGGAAATTCACTTATGCTCAACTCCTCATTTTTTATTCTAGATAAATGAGGCATTTAATGTACATAGTTTGCCATGTAAGTATTTTCTTTTTAAAAATCTGCTCTCATTAAGATTGT